CACTTTCTAAGAACAACTTTCACCAGTATATGTATATGAGGCTTAGTCTTACAAAGAGTGTGTATACATGCACACACACCTATATGCCATATAAATGTATACAAACACTCTTTCTAAGATTTGTTCTCATATACATATACCAATAAATGAGGGTTAGTCTTAGAAATAGTGGGGTGTGTGTGTGCATATATATATATGTGTGTGTATACAAACACACTCATACACAGACATCTGGGATCCCACCTAAAAGTCACTATTCTCTTCCTTTGCTTAAAATGAGGCATTGTGAAATACTCCTAGCCTGCCAGAAAGGGAATATGAATTAATAGTCTTAATAATGCAGTAATCTCAGCTGTAAATTATTAGTGGATGAATGGGAAGTGTTTCAGATATATTGAGATTAGCAATCTATAAAGGTTTTGTTCCAGTTTAACTTTTCTTTATGCATTGGGAAAGACGTGCCATTTTTCAGCTTGATCCACGCTTCCTAGACATGAAATAGGATTTCCAGAAGCTCTTAAACTTCTTGGACTCCTTTTTCAAAAATCTCATTCATGTTTAAATCATTTTTACTAGCTAGGGCCTTTGGTCATTGCTCAAATGAGGGTCTGAATGAAATAGCTAATAGAAGAGTTGGGTACTGAGGCTACTTGAACATACTTCCTTTTACAGCATGTTGGCTAATGACCAGGATAATTAAACAAAATACCTCTGATCCCAAAGCTCTTTACCTTTTGCATACTGTACAAATCAAACAGAAATCCTCTCAGCCACCACTGGGACATAGCCATTGCTAATGCCAGCAACAAAACTAAACATGTCCAGGATGAAACTTAAAGAATCCCCCCTGGGTAGCTGGATTCTCCAAACTGTAGGTGTGCAGAATATATAAAATGCAGCCACAATGTGGGTATTAACTTTTTATGACTCACTTCTATATTTCTTTTGAAATAACAGGATTCCCAGCATTTCATTGTCCCCCAAGAACGGATGCTTTGTTTTTTAAATGTATTTCATAAATAAAACCTCATTTGAGTTTGTCTTCTTAAGTAACTTGATATGGCACTAGTCATCTACAACTTTGTAGAATGCAACAGACAGGGATGGTCCTTGTTTTTCAAAGCTGGAGCAATGCAGTTTGATTGACATAGTAAATTATGTTATTTTCCAAATCATATGTTAGAAATGCGTTTCTTTGTCTAAGCTTGGGTTAGTGTAGGATTTTTCATTGGGATTATAACCAGGTAAATGGCTTGGAATTTCTTTCTTGAATCCGTCCTGGGAGGCCTTGTCTATTCCTATCACCTTTGCAGTATCTTTACACAGATTATTTTCAGAATCCTCCTGAGAAAAAGAAAAAGGAAGAATAAATAATTCATGTTGTTTGAAATATGAATTAAACCAACCCTAGTAAACCCTATTTATACATCTCAGTCCAACAAGAGTTGTAAATGATTCTATCCTCCTCATTAAAGACCCTTCCATGTGTACATTTAGCAACTGACTTGAGTGCTATTAGAAAGGCAATACTTCATTTTATTTTTCTTAGGGTGTGTACAGAAGTGTAGGCAGTCCACCAGGTAGGCGGTCTAACTCTTGCACTTTACATGAAGTGCCATGTGATAGAATGCCATTGCCTCTTGGGTGTGGTGGGCATGGAGCCTATCTGCACTGACCCAGGCTACCAGGTAGGGGCACTCCAGCAGTCTCCCAGGAGGCTGCTGGACCCCCAACCCTGAGAGATGGCAACGGTCAAAGCTGATGGGGGAGGGACAGAGCCTCTCCAACTACTCCTGCTGGGGTCTTGGGGGAAGCCAGGGCAGGCCTGCAAGGCATTTCCCCCTTGCACCCCATGCACAGAAGACTCTGCTACCATCCAGATGCTTGCACAGGGGACAGGGTGGGAAGGGAGCTCCCACCACCACACATGCCCAGCCCAAGACCCCAGCAGGGGCAGCTGGGAGGCAGAGCACATGTGGTAGAGGCAGCTCCCTTACTCACACCTGCCCCCCCGCCCCCATGAGAGTGTCCTGACAGTAGCAGAGGCTGCTGTGCACAAACCTTGGGCTTAGGAAGAGGTGGAAAGCCCCCTGCTGTGCGGTCTGCCCCAACTACCCCTCCTGGGATCTTGGTGGGAGTTGGACTGGGCCTGTGTGGCAGGGGATCCCTTCCTCCTGCCCCCTGTATGATTGTCTTGACAATGGCAGATGCTGCTGTACCTGGAGTGGGGCAGGGGGGAAACAGAGCCCCTCTGTCTCATGGATCCAGCCCTTCAAAACTGCATGGGATGTAGACACAGAATCACCTGAAATTAACCCTTGCAAGGAGCCTGCCCTAGAGTGCCCCACTCTTACATTACATCAGACAAGAGTTACATTTTCATGCGATTGGCCATTTAAAAAGCATTCTGCAGCCATGAACATTTGTTGTATTTTGGCTGCTGAGCACTGGTTATCAAGCACAACTAAAAGGAAACAAACTTGTTTGTGTCTGGGACTGTCATACAAACTTGAAAAAGTTGCATGCTCCCTAAGCACATAGGTATCCAAAGCTATACACTCAGATGGTGCTTCAAAACATCAGGGTACTAAATTTCCCTTAGAATCAATGGGCGCACCTACACATCACCGTACTTTAGTACCACAGCAAAGTACCGGCAGTTACTGTGCTGTGTGCACAGCACACAGTTAGATTTTGCACTACACTGAGGGAGTGTGCCACTACAGCAACATAGCTAGAGATCACATGTAGATCTGCGTGATCATTATGTTGCAGTAGCACAGCAATGTAGTGTGTCACTATGTTGCTGTAAGGTGATGTGTAGACATGCCCAATGTGTATTAGGCACCTTTTAAAAGCTGGCTATAGTCAGCTAGGTCAGAGGACAGCTAGGTCAGATGGATTGCAGATTGGCTGAGGGGTCGCACTCAGAGGGTAGTGGTGGATGGGTCATATTCAACCTGGGGGGAGGTGGGTAGCGGAGTCCCCCAGGGCTCGGTCCTGGGGCCTGCGCTGTTCAATTTCTTCATCAGCGATCTGGATGATGGGGTGGAAAGTAACCTGTTTAAATTCGCTGATGACACCAAAATCTGGGGGGAGGTGAGCACGCTAGCAGGGAGGGAGAGATTGCAGAGGGATCTGGATAGGTTACAGGGGTGGGCTAACAGGAACAGGATGCGTTTCAATACGGACAAGTGCAGGGTGCTGCACTTGGGCAGTAGGAACCAGCAGCACACTTACACAATGGGGAACTCCCTACTCGAGAGCACGGAGGCAGAAAGAGATCTTGGAGTCATTATTGACTCCAAGATGAACATGGGCCGACAATGCGAGGTCATGGTTGGCAGGGCTAACCGGACCTTGTCGTGCATCCACAGGTGCATCTCGAGTAGAGCCAAGGAGGTGATCCTCCCCCTCTACGCGACGCTGGTCAGGCCACAGCTGGAGTATTGTGTCCAGTTCTGTGCGCCCCATTTCAAGAGGGATGTGGACAATATGGAGAGGGTCCAGAGGAGGGCCACCCGCATGATCCGGGGACAACAGGGCAGACCCTACAGTGAGAGACTGCGGGACCTGAACCTATTCAGCCTCCACAAGAGAAGGCTAAGGGGGGACCTGGTGACTGTCTATAGACTCACTAGGGGGGACCAGAAGGGTTTGGGGGAGACGCTGTTTCCCCTAGCGCCCGCTGGCATAACAAGGAGTAATGGGCACAAGCTGATGGAGAGGAGGTATAGATTGGACATCCGCAAAAACTACTTCACGGTTAGGGCGGCTAGGAGCTGGAACCAACTTCCAAGGGAAGTGGTGCTGGCCCCTACCCTGGGGGTCTTTAAGAAGAGGCTGGATGCCTACCTGGCTGGACTCGTTTGAGTCCCGTTTCTCTTTTTGGGGTTTTTTGTTGTTCTCCCACCCTGGCGGGGGGTCGGGCTAGAAGATCTACTAGGTCCCTTCCGACCCTTAATCTATGAATCTATG